TGAATATGTTGTTCTTTCAGCAAGTGGATTTTTTTTTTGTTTGTATATGCCAATTAGCAGTTAATCAATTAATTAAAAAAATTGGCACATTGTACAGATTTCCCTTTCACCCATTTAAACCTTTTTTTTTAATAACAGATGCAAATAAACAATTCATTTTTTTAAATAAGAAAAATATTTTAAGATGTAATAAAATTTTGATTAATTATGATTAACCCTATTAGTCATTTTTTCCCTTATCCAGATTAGTACTGGGTGATAAATTAATTTTATTGATGAATCAAATTTTGGGGTTTTGAAATTTTCATTTGTAAAAAATACGGATTTTTTTTTTTTAGTTGGATTTTGAAATTATTTCCTGTCATTGATCGATTGGTCACAGTAATCAATCCCTCCAGGATTTTGCTGTTTTTGTGTTTTTTTCTTAGAATGCCACTGAATTTGTGTACCTAGTTTGGAAATATTTATAAGGAATTTTGGAATATTTACGTCTATTTTAGACGGTAAATGTGACTTTTTTAGTCACCATACAGACAGTAACTTTATATCCAGTCAGGCTGGGCAACAGAGTAGTAGAAGTAACAAATACTGCCACCTGCAGGTGGGAGTTAGCATCACTTAAAACAAATGCTTCTAAGTGTTTTTGTAGAAAAATTGCACTAAATTTAAAACTGTACATTAAAAATTTCCGAATTGCAAAAACAGAAGTTACTGATTGATAATTTTACAGATAAAAACTGCTCTGATTTGATTAATAAAATAAATCCAGGCCTTTAGTTTGGTTTCTTTTCCCGAGGCACCAACTTTCATCAACCTCATTTAGAGAAAATAAAGAAAAAAATGAAACTGTAGATCAGAATTAACAACCTGAATGTTTTCTAATATCAACAAAGATTAGATATTCCATCCGCAGCAGATTTACAGTGTAATCCTGACAGGCAGCTCATTAATGCCAGGCAGCTTATTCACCAACCTGGAACAATGATTCAGCACAAACCGATCTCATCTCTTCAGATCTCACTTCAAACGTCTGAGCAGACAAAGCTGCTAAAACATGACAATCAACTGAAAGTTTCTTCAAACGTAGCTGCGCTTCTTCCCTGACCAATCAGCTCGCCGCTTGTTTCTGATGCGGCGGAGCGAAGCATCCGCAGCTCAATCGTCCCTCTGTTTCAATCGACTGCTGACTCATGTGGCTGGACGTCCGGGTGAGGAGAGCAGACACAAACATGAGCAACGTTCAATGTGATCTCAGGCAGCCGGGGAATGCTCCGCACCACAAAGACGCTTTATGCAGCGCCGCCGCGACCAGCGAGGCCCTGGAAACCATAACTATCTGAGTAGGAGACACGAGTCGCTGCAGACGGCGGCAAATTGGGCCTATTGTAGATAGAAATAAAAAAAAGGAGTAAATCTCTGCCAAATAACGCTGAAATTGAAATTTCTAGAATGAACAGCTTCGAACTTTTAAAAATGTAAACTCTTGAAACTCAGAAAATTTCCAAAAGTCAAAAAGTTCTGATTTTTGAAACTCAAAAATTCCCATGTTTTTTTTTCTAAAAAATTCTAGAAGCTCAAAATGTTTTCTAACAAATTTCCAACTTTTAGACTCAAAAATGTTGTTTTCTCTTTAACCTTTCCAGGATTAATGAGTTCTCTCTCACAAATGTTCAACTTCTGAGTTTCAGAAAAATTTGGAAAAAAGTGTCTATTCAGGCTATTTTTCAACAACTTTTGGAGTCGGAAGTTCTCTTGTGCTTTCTCTGGGTATTTTTAGGGTCCCAATATGTTGGGAACCTGCAGAAATGCAGCAGATCCACTTCAAAACATCTGATGTACAGAAAAATCTCTACTAAAAGGATTAAAACTTTCCCTTTTAATTCAAAACTATTGAAAACTTTATTCCACACAGGATATTAGGTATAAATATTTACATGTTTGGACAATTACTGGACGCTATGCAGCTGGAAGTATTTTTGCTCTTACTTTCTTGCCTTCAGAGAGGTTATGATGCGTAACTGTGGAAACCAGGTATTGTTTTTCAGCTCATTAATGAAAAACGGGGGGCTGCTAGTTAGCCCCCCGTCTCATAAACTCTAATTATGCCTGAACTACGACCCCAAACATCCCATAAGCGTTGAAAAGGAGACATCATGGATGCAGAGCAGAAAGTACAAACTAACAACCATAAAACTAAATAGACGTTTAAAGAGGAGAAGCAAAAGCAAATGAGGTGGATTAGCAGAGCTTCCTGACAGCTGATGATGTCATCCAGGTCATGTTACCGTGAAATACTGCCTCTGTTGTGATACCGAGTTGTTAGCATGTCATGAGACTGTCATGAAGAAAATCTTCAGTCAGAAGTGTCTTTAGATTTGTTGCAACACTGACTGCTGCCAAAGACACTTGAATCATACAATTCAAGTGAATGATTCAAGCATCAAGGGGGGCATTTTTTCCCCCTCCCTTAAAAATAATTATTGAAATAATTTGAAAACGCACTGAATTTTGAATTCTTTTGCAGGGTTCCAGCAAAAACATCCTGCTGGGTTTAACTCGAAGAAAACAGCAACAAAAGAGTCCAGTGGACACTTTCTGCTGGCTGGTTGCATGTTGAGGGTACAGCCAAGCATTGAGATGCATTAAATGCAACATTAAATGCATCGGTCAGAAAGGCAGAGGAGCAGCTGCTGCATGAAGACTGACCACTGGCTGCTGCTGCTGCTGCTTGTCGTAAACAACTCGCAGAGAACAATGGGCAGGCTTGGCTTTACTTTACCCGCTTCTAAAACACGAACATTTCTTTTCCGTGACACGTCTAGCAAAAATAAATAAATACCAGAGATGAAACCAAGATGTCGTCTCTGAAACATCACGTCTATCCATCACCAGGTCTGTCCAGTGGGGAAAAAACACAAGTCAACCCAGCGCCGACAGCTAACGTTAGCTGGGAGCAGCGACCCACACTCCGACCAGCACTTATTCCCCGAGTCAGTCGGGCTCGGTTCGACCCACAGCGGCCAGATCGGCTCGGTTTGGACCCAACGCAACATCCGGGCCGGAACCCGCTGACAACAAACCGGATTATTCGCAAATAAGTGGAGCTGTTTACCTGTTAGAGTAGATTCACTCCACAGGGCGCCGCCATCTTGAACACCTCACAGCCCATCCCACCGCAGTCAGCCTCCGCTGTCAGGCTGCGAGCGAACTAATCCCGCAACTCCGAGCGGCTCTGCGCCTTAATGCTGCCGCTTTTCCAGCGGCACCGAACCGGGACCGCTTCTGGAACTCATCCTCATCCCGACAGCCGACACTCCGCTCGAGCTTTCACAGGGATAATTGCTGATTCTTATCGCTGTCGCGCAGTTTAAGTTTGTTTTCCCATCGCTGCTGCTGAAGGGCTGAACTGTGTAATGCGGTTTCGCGTGACCCACATGCAGACAGCGCACGCGCGACTCAGGTTTATTATTTTTTAAGGCGAATTAAATAAGATTTTACAGAAACACGTCTTTTTGTTTTGCAGAAGATAATTATTTATAGGGGAAAAAAATCTGAAATCTTTATGTCAAAATTCTAAAATTAAACTCAAAATTGTGACAATAAAACATTTGGTATTAAAGTTTTAATTAAAAAAAAGAGAAAAAAGTCTTAATTCAGAAAGAATTTTAATAACAAGGGTAGAATTCTGAGATTATAATCGGAATCCTGAGATTCAAGTCTGATTTCTCACAGATTAAAGTCAAAAATTTTGGTTATAATGTTTTCAGTTTTAACAGCAAAGTCAAAAATAAAGTCTGAATTCTCATAGAATAAATTCTGAATTTTGATAACAATGTTTGCCATTTTAATAATAATGATGTTAGAATTCTGAGATTAATATCAGAGCTTGAGATTAAAGTCTGATTTATCATGGATTAAAGGCAGAATTATGATCATAATGTTTTATTTTAATTTTTAAATTTAATTTGAGATTAGAGTCTGAATTCTCATTAGTTGAAAGTCAACATTTTTTACAATGATTTTTAAAAATCTGAATAATAAAAATGTTAGAATTCTGACATTAAAATCACAATTTGGAGATTAAAGCCAAAAATCTGATATGGAAGTTTGAATAATAAAGTCAGAATTCTGTGAGATTCGAGTCCAAAATTTTTCATATCTCCACATTTATCTGATGTAAACACTGTGTTTTCATGAACTGTAAGCTTATTTTACTTAACAGAAATAAAGGCGTAAAAACATCAAATGTGTGTAAATAATCTGCTTCACTTCATAATGGAGTTACAGAAATAAATGAACATTGCAATATTTGCAACAACTTTCTAGTTTATTATAGTATTTTTACATAATAGGATGTTATTACATCACATTATATTTAATGCACGTTGAGGTTTTTCTCCACTAGATGTCGCTCTTGCACTCAAACTTCATTTTGAAACGCTCACAAATGATGATGACTAACAAGAGGAAGACGATGATGATGGTGGTGATTGTTAATTAATTTATTATTAAAATTAACTTTCCATTTAATTGAGTGACTAAATTGTGTTTTTGTGTCGCCATAGCAAGCAGCAGTCGGCTGCGCCTGGACAAGCAGACTGTGACTTTGGAGAATCTTAAATCTTTCACACAAATTTACTTTATTTTACTTTACTTCCAGTAAACCGAACAGAAACCGATACGGACTTGTTTTAAAAGTTAAAGTTTTTTGTTTTTGTTTGTTTGTTTTTTGTTTCTGCATTTTTTAAAATTCATTACGCAGAAGTTATTTTTATTTTATTGTCGCATGTTTCACATGTTTTGAGTAAAAAAAATTAAATTAAATAAATAAATGTGTCTCTCCCCGTCGTGCTGTTTTGTGTAACTGTTCCCAAGGCCGCTGTTTTTCTACGCAAATTTCCACCTGCAGCTTGGCCTTTTCATTGGCTGAAACCACAGTCAGATTCCCCTGCGAAGTTATCTGATTGAAAATCAGGGAGGGGAGGAAAAACAGCGAGCTGCGAGCGCTGATGATGCGTCTTACTCTGCTTTAACGCTCCTGCGGCTTTTAGGGGACGGATTTCTGTCCCTGCGACGCGTCTTGGATCCATAAACTTTATTATTGTTGTTTTAATTCGGGATCAATTAACGGTGAGTTAATTGCTTCATCAATTGCATCATAACTCAAGCAGGTAGTTAACCATATCTTTTAGTGTCAAGGAAAAAAACTTCTTCAGAATTACATTTTAGCTCCAACTAATTCTAAAACCTTAAAAAATATTTTCTAATGCGTAGTTTGCATATTTATTTAACGTTATAATGACATTTTGGAATGCTTCATTTTATTTATTGCGTTGAAAACAAATAGAAAATGTTTTGTGTGCAGAAACAACATGCCGCGGTCATTTCTGGTGAAAAACAAACGGTGCGCCTCTTATAACGTCCACCGCACTTATGAAGAGGATCAGGGTGAGACTTCGTCTGTAACTTTAAATGGGAAATGCATCAATTTTTCTCCGCTAAATTACAACATCTGCTTTAATGTCGCATGCATTAAACATCAAAGTTGCTTGTTTTGTTCATTTCTTGTGCATTTCTCAGAAGTCCCGTCGCAGCTGCAGAGCACAGACTCATCAGAGGAGCCCCTGTCTGAGGGCCCCTCCCTGTCTGAGGGCCCCCCCCTGTCCGCAGACAGGTGCTCCCCTCCGGGGGATTCAGAGCCGCGGTGTCCCGTCCCTGCTCACCCAGAGCCGGCCAGCCCGCCGCTCGCCCCCTCACAGCCCTACTACCTGACAGGTCAGCAGCGGCCTGAGTCCGGACGCTTTGTTTCATATCTGAACCGGAAATGGTCCGCCATCTTAGTAGGCAAGCGCCCCACGAGGCATGGCGGGATGGCTTGAGATCAATGAAATAAAATATGTGGGCGTTCTTGACCACTTTGAGAGATTGACCTCTGATCTCACACTCTGAGTTAGCAGCCTAGTTAACACAAATATAAAATGGAGGCGCTTCGCCGCCTGATATCCATGGACGCATACAATCAATGTTTGAACGAATTTGTCAAGGATGCATGAACTCTTCAGATCAATAACAAGGATCTGGTAACTGGCAGAGTAAAGTAACAAACATGTAGGCTCCATGTCGGTGTTAGCTAGCAGATAAAAGCCACAGTAGCTAGCTAGTTTTGCTAGTTCAGCTGTAAGTAGTTCCCTAAATGTCGCTGATATTTGTCTCAGTATCACACAGAGTTCTGCAGAGCACTCAAGCAGTTGTAATAAGTTAGATAGGAACAAGTCTGAGGCTTGTCTGTCGTTATCATAGCAACTCCATAGCAACCGCCTGTCAAGATGGCTGTCAGTTGCAAAGCTAACGAAGGTGTGACGTCATATGAAATCTATGTATTGATTAGTTTTTGTGCTTTAAAGATGTGAAATGCTGCCGAGCTGATTGCAAAGCCTTTCCTGTTTTATCCCCGGTTGTTGTTTATTTTTAAGCAGTTGTGGCAAAACCTGAAACTGCCACTTGTTGAGGCTAGGCGACCAAAAACCGAACTTAGCTAGCTGCGAGAGGTGGATGCATAAGTCTTTACTCTTCCTACATCTCCCAGAATGCTGTGCGGTTCTGGATCAGAGTTAAGTGTAAAGGTTTTTATGCAGTGGTCTGATTCTGCTGGTTCTTCTTTGCTTCTCACTAAACTTCATATTATCACCATCCTGCCAGTGGGACGAGATATGGAAATTAGTCACGTGGCTATAATCTCATACATTTGCATGTAAATGCTAAATGATAGCTAATGTCCCATTTTTAAAGAATAAAATTGAAACTATGTACACGTTTTGTACTTCCATCTAGTTCTCAATTGCTTTCTAAGAAAAAACTGTCAGCGGCTTTTTACAATGGCTGCTGGAAAGCTAAAATCTCCTGCTCAAAGAATGATTTTGTGTAATGAACATGTTTTGTGTCCCAACCTGTTTAGGGAAGCAAAAATATTTCACCTTTCAACTTGTTCTCCCCGTGTTAGAGCCCCACATGGGCGAGTTCCCGCCTTACTACAAGCCTTCGTACGCCTGGGAGCCGGTGTCGTCGTCCTACGAGCTGCGGCAGCTGAGCTTCAGCCCCACGGTGCTGCAGCACGCCAGCAGCCTGTATGGCGGCCACATCAGCCGCAGTCCGCCGCCGCAGCAGCCACTGGACTGCAGCACGCACTACTCCCCCAGCTCCAACACCTACCACTGCATCACCTGTGACAAAGTAGGCAGCTTTTCCCATCACTGTCAATATTTAAGATGATGACTTCATTGATTAAAATAAGGGCCAATCAAAACCAACCTCGCCTTGTGTATATTATTCCATCCTGGCGTGTCCAAAGTGCGGCCCGGGGCCCTTTGTGGCCCTCTGGGGCATTTTGGGCGGCCCTCTCAAGCTCAATTTTAGAACGGAGCAAAAAAACAGGAAGTAGAGGTTAAAAACTAGCATGGACCACACATCTCAGAAAACTGAAATAAAAGGCAGGGGGACCTGGAACTTTTCAGGAGTTTTGTTCCTCTGGTATGGCACAGACTGTTTACTCCTTCAGGGTTTTATTCAGAAAAGATGTTTTCATTTCTCCTTTCACACAAAACACTTTTTTTCAGAAAAGCTAAAAACAACTTCAAACTGGCAGGAAAACTTTTTTTTTCTTTTGCAAAAATAAGGAAGTTTGTTTGAACTTTTGCCATTTCCGTCAACATTTTCTCCAAAATGTGAATGAGAAGCACAGCATGTTAAGTCATGATTGAACAAGAGCCAAGTTGGTGTGAGTAAATGTTGATTAAGTGAAACCAACATTTGGATTTAATTTACTCAGGTTATTCTTGCTGTTTTTTGTTGTGCAGGTGTTCTCAACTTCTCACGGACTGGAGGTTCATGTCAGGCGGTCACACAGCGGAATGAGACCTTTTGGTTGCAGCATCTGCAGGAAAACCTTTGGGCACGCTGTGAGTCTGGAGCAGCACATGAACGTTCACTCCCAGGTAAACAAAAACACAAATTGCTTCAGGTTTTGTAAAAAATGTAAACTTGTAAAACTGAGAAAACAGTAGTTTGTTGCCCTGCTTCATTTATTTTATCCAAAGTGAAAATTCAATATGGCTGCCGAATAATGGCGGCAGTGGAAGGCCGTTTATTTGTACTTCTGATCGTTTTCATTTAATTTACCATACTGTCATCAGCGTAGTTATAGACTGTTTGTTTGTGTTAAAATCAGATTAATATTATTTTGTGCTGCTAACAAAAGTTAGCATGTTTGTCTTTGAAAATGTAATGTTTTGAATCTAATACAGAGTCATTTGCATGAGGAATTTCAGATGATTTTTATTAGGAGTCAGAGTAAATCCTTAAAGGACTGCAATTCTACTTTCAAAAGTTTGCAGTTTATTACTTATAAAAACTGTCAAATGGAGCTAAATTGTTTTATTTTATAAATTGTTTGATTTTATTGTATGTTCAGGAAAAAAGTTTTGAGTGCAAGATGTGTGGTAAATCCTTCAAGCGCTCCTCCACGCTGTCCACACACCTGCTCATCCACTCCGACACCAGACCTTACCCCTGTCAGTACTGCGGGAAACGGTTCCATCAGAAGTCGGACATGAAGAAGCACACGTACATCCACACGGGTAACTACAGCGGAGAATTAACAATTGTTTTGGTGATCGATTATTCTAACGATGAAAAAATTATCTCACTCGCTGCTTTTTATTTTAGTAATAGAATAATTTTTAAAATGGGAAAATAAACAATTTATGCAATGATGCAGCAGTCCTTTAGTGAATGTTTGATCATTTGTAGATTAAGAGTCATCTGCAGATAAAACAACAGTTTGGGGATTTTAGCACAAATAAAATAAATTAACTAATTATTTGAAAATAGCGTTTTTGCATTTATTCAGATCAAATATAATGCAATATTTTAGGACACATAAAGCTATTTTAAAAGATTACAAGAATAAAGTTGGATGAAAAGAAAGTTGAAATAATACGAGAATAAATAAAATCACAAAAATGCAGTCATGGTGTTATGACTTCATTCACATGTTATGTCAACTTTATTCTTGTAAAACTACGACTTTATTTTTGTTATTTATTTGTTATTTTGGTCCCTTAACACTGTCCTCCATCCACTGGGTTTGTAGTTTTCATTTGATTTCCAGTTTTGGGTTTCGTTTCTGTCCAAAGACGTGTTTGGTGATATCAGCTACTTTCCAGGTGCAGCATGGAGGAATTGTTTCCAGAGGTTGTAAAGCTGCTGATAAATCAGAAAAAGAAGTTTAAACAAATATCCCGTGAATTTGCATGTCTGGTTTTCCTGCTTCGCGCCGCGCTCTATAAAAGGAAGTGTGTCCAGTTGACGTTTGTTGACAGCACGGCTTCTACAAATCTGAACAAAGGCGCGATTCTTCTCGATTGGTCGCCAATAGAAACTTTACCTGTGAGCTGGAAACATCTGATGCTGTTTTTAAGCTACTCTGATTTTTTGCAAATCAAATCAGTCAAGGTAAAAAAAAAAAAAAGAAAGAAAAAGAACAGAAAAGTGACGCAATTTTCATTTTCGCAGGCGAAAAGCCGCACAAGTGCCAGGTTTGCGGCAAAGCGTTCAGCCAGAGCTCCAACCTGATCACCCACAGCAGGAAGCACACGGGATTCAAGCCGTTTGGGTGCGATGTTTGCTCAAAGGGCTTCCAGAGAAAGGTGGATCTGCGCCGCCATCACGAGAGTCAGCACGGCATGAAGTGACGGCGCCCGAATGTTTGTACATATTAGATTTCTATTAAAACAGCGAGTGTCAGGCGTGTCTGCGACGGCGGGACTCCCCCAGGCAAACTGAAATGTAATATATGGGAATCCGTCTTAAAAGACAAACGACTGTATAAATGTGGAAAATTGGTGTAACTGTGTATTTATACTCTGGTCACTGCAAAAACACAAAATATCACCAGGTTTTGTGGTCAAGTTTCATTACGAATCAGCAGGTGCATCGCCGTTACCTAGCAACCCCAGGGGAGACAGCCCGTTACCTAGCAACCCCAGGGGAGACAGGCCCGTTACCTAGCAACCCCAGGGGAGACAGGCCCGTTACCTAGCAACCTACCTAACTTTTCTGGAAAAAACCACTTTTTATTACGCTGTACTTTTTACTTTTCTTCTCTTATTTGATTAAAATTTCTGTATTTTCTTCCCACTGAATGAAAAACACGTTTTAACCAAAGATTCACCACAAACTGACTCACAGCTGCAGTTTCTGTCAAAGTTTCATGAGTGTTTCATAGAAAGAGACTAATCTGGTAAAAATATTTTGTCTGATTTTTTTTTTATTACTTATATGAATTAATGTCATTTTGGTTCTTGAAACACCCAAATTTCCACTTAATTTTATATTTTGGCCCATATGATGATGTAATTTCTAAAGTTACTCTGTACTCGAGTAACTTTTCACTTTAACTTGAGTAGTTGAGTAAAATACTTTGAAGTAATTCCACTCTACTGATCTTTGATTGCAAGTAACTTAAAAGTAACTTTTTAGCAAGATAAAAGAGCTTATTTTAAGTAAATAAATCTGTAATGTTGATTTAAAAAAATGACATGTTCTACTAGATTATTTCACATATTATATTGGAAGAATCCGCCAGTGGAGCAAATCATTTTATAATCAAAATTAATTACTTGGAAGTTAATTTTGTCATATTTTAACTAGAATTTACACAAACATACTTTGTATTTTTGCAGTGTTTGGATGATTCAGGTTGTTGGGGATAATAAATGATTTGATATAAATTGCAATCCCGGAAAAAAATCTTTGTTTTTCCTTTTTTGTGTTGAGAGCCACACACTTTTTCATTTGTTTGTTTTTGCGCCAGGTTCTCATCCAAAGCAGGATGTAGGATTCCTGCAGGACTGTTAAGTTGGGTGAAAATCTGTTGCGTGACCGGAGTGATCCTGCAGTCAAATAACACACCTGGAGCGTCATGCAAATCCACGCGCAGCATCTGATAGTGGGCTAGAAAGCAGCAGGAAGGGGAAGTTAGGGAAGAGTTCAGGAATCGAAACACAAATGGCTTCGAAAACATAAAAAAGCAGAAGTCAAATCAGAGGAAAGCTCATGAATTCTGCATTTGGTTTCATTGGAAAACAGGGATTAAAGAGTGTGTGTGTGTGTGTGTGTGTGTGTGTGTGTGTGTGTGTGTGTGTGTGTGTGTGTGTGTGTGTGTGTGTGTGTGTGTGTGTGTGTGTGGAAAAGGGATTGATTACTTGAGTTAACTGCCACACCTCCCTTCCAGTCTGTTGGATTTACTTACAACAAACAAACGGCAACAAACGCCGCCTTCCTCAAACAGCAACGTTGCTGGAGGCAAATCAGATCAGCAGGAACGGCCTTTAAATCTGACGAGCAGGACGGCAGAAACAACTCAACGCGGACGAGTTTATCCGCAGAACGCACTGAAAAAACTAATTCATGTTCACAAATATTTTTAGTCTAGTTTATAGTGCAAATGTCTAAGTCGAGTGGAAATAAGAGAAACCTAATTAAGCTCTTTTTCAGCAAGATGTTAGATTTTTTATTGCACAAAATTATTCTTACATAATGAGATTTTGGTTATTTCAAGGCCTTCTGTCACTTTGAGTCCGAGTGAGCTGCTGATGGCCACACCCACAAACTCAACATATACACTCGCACGTTAAAATGGCTGCAAACAGAAATGTGTTATACAACTTCACATCTCTGAAGAGCAGAAGTGGAGCCTCCTGCACAACCACCAAAAATGCAGCAAGTTGTTTCTGATGGTTAGTCAGCAACAAAGCACTTGTCTTTTCCAGCAGCCATTGTACAGCGCACACATGCAGAAGCTGCATTTATCCAAACAGCCAGTAATTCTGGTTATTTTTCCAAATGTTGAATGAAATAGTTTAATTGTTAGGCTGTGTTTTGCTAGCTTACAAATTCAAGATGGATGTGTGTGTATCCTAAATGTAAAATATTCAAGTGTTTTCCAACAGTGAAGAAGAAAATCCAGTCTTCTGCAAATCTAATTTGAAAGAGTTTGCACCACATAGCTGCAGAAATCAGAGTATTCCTGAGAACAGACCGTATGACAAACAAATCTGAGGTCTCTGTATGCAAAATTTGTTGGCAAATAGAGGCGACGGGGTCAGCGTTTAATCCTTGGGAACAGTTAGACATCCTGCGGCTGCAGAACCCTGGTGTGAGGAGACGGAGCAAATCAAAACGGTGTACAGGTGAGCAGCAGAACAAAAGCCTGGGATCCTCCAGGGTGGGACTGAGCAAACAGGACGTGAGTCCTGGAAGGGGAGGGCCGCGGCCGCCTCAGGTTGCCCGGGGAAAAACGGGAAAAACCGAAAGAAACTGTTCCTGGAGTCATTCCTGCCAGGCATGCAGTGGATTCAAAATGTTTCTTTTTTAGGTAATATGGTTTAAATTCTGCTCAAAGTTGTGCTTTCAGAAAATGTATGCAAGAAGTTTTATTATTCTCCTTAAAGATCAGCTGGAGCAGAAATATAAAACACACAGCTGAAGTTTTGCAAAGTGAGCAAACTATCTGGCAGAAACAGGTAAAGAGATAAAGCAGGATGTTCTGGATTTGTTTTGCAAATCTCCATGCAAATGATTCGCAGCCAGTACTCTGGAAGCCGTGCAGGATGTGAAGAGTGTCTGAGCAAACGCCCGAGGCATCAATGATGCATTCATGGAGTCCAGGGAAGGAAGGTTCTCCCTGCCGGAGAGTTCAAAGTCACCAGTGGGAATCAGAATCACTGCTTACCGTTTTAGAGCTTCTGTCATCAAATCGTGTACTGCAAAAACACAACATCTGCAAAAACACAACATCTGCAAAAACACATCTGCAAAAACACAACATCTGCAAAAACACAACATCTCAGAGAATCTGCTGCAAATACATCGGAACGCCAGAAATAAGAGAAAACAAGCAGAGTTACATTTACTACTGTGACTGTGTTGAAAAAAATTTACGTTTAGGAGTATTTTTATTTTATTATGAAGTATTTCTGCTGTTACTTGAGGGAAATTTCTGGATTTTCTCTCAACTCAATGAAAAACAAAACATGTTTTAACCAAAAATCAACAGCTGTAGTTTCCATTAAAGTTTCTGAAGTTTTTATTGAAAGAAACTGATTTGGAAAAATGATCTTGGTATTGTTTTGTTACTTACATAAATTATCATCATTTTGGTCCTTAAAATGCCAAAATTTCCACTTTATATTTTGGTGAATCTGATGATGTAATCTGCAAATATTAAATGATCATTTGATCAGTTATTCAGTCGACTTTAACCAAATACTCTCACTTGAGTCATTTCTCGGATGGCTACTTTTCACTCTACCCAAGTAACTTTTCAGCTTGTTTTAAGTCAATAATTCCTTAATATTAATGAAAACGTTCTGGTTCCACTGGCAGATTGTTTCACTTATAACCAGCCATTTTACCCACATTACAAGTCAAAGTTATTTTTCATATTTTATACTAAATTTACGTTTCGGTCCTTACATTTGGGTGCCAAACTGCCTCTAAAAACAGAAAACACAAAGCCAAGTTTGAACGAACCGTTTGGAAAACCCCTGGAATGTGACGTACCCCAACGGAACTCGGCAGCTGTCTTGGCACGTTTGAAAATAAGACAAAAAAAATAACTTACAAGTAACTTTTCAGCAAGATGTGAGAGTTTGGTGTCAGTAAATAATCCCTTAATATTGATGAAAACGTTTTGGCAGATTATTTCACGTCTGACATTTTTACCATATTTTAAGTTAAATAATCTGCCAGTGGAACGAGAACTTTTTTTTTATTAAAACAAACTTACATTTTACTAAAGAGTTACTTGCAAGTTAGTTTTGTCTTATTGCAAGTGCACTAAGATGAATATACAAGTTCTGAAACACTTTTTTTGCATACACAAATTTAAAACTATTCAAAATATGGTCAAACTATCTACACATAAAGACACAAATAGCTGAAATGTCACAGATGAAATGAGAAAAGCAGCAAAACGTTTTTGTGTCAGCATCACTCCTGAACAGAAAAAGTAACTGTCTGCAGATTTCCTCTGTGTGACTGACGCCAGGAAGACGGCGAGCGATCACTGCGGTCATTACGGGGCGTGATGCACGGCTGCAGTCCTGCCTGGCTGCAGATAAGTCCTGCGGTGACGGCGACGTGACGCGAGCTGATGTCCACGCCTCACTGAGCATCAGGAGTCAACAAAAACAAAAACCATCAACTTTTTTAATGTGTTTTCGTTCAGCGTTTACACCTGTCTTTAAAGCTGCTTCATGACATTAAGATAATCTTAAGTTTATCTTAAGATAAACTTAAGAGTTACTTGCAAGTGCACTAAGGTGAATATGATTAGTTTTTTTTTAAGTTGCGTTGCTTCAACCAGCTGTTTTCTCTGAGTTCTTGGAAGTTAAAACTCCAAGTCAAAAAATCAGAACAAGAATAGAAAATGTCTGAACTTGGAAAGTCGGTTTTCTAGCTAATCATGACCTCAAAATCCAACAAAAGCCAAATCTGAAATGTTCTGTGTTCTAGCAGTTTATCTCCTGCTACATTCACAAACATTCCTCTTGTTCAAAAACTGAATTTCCCCCCATATATTTATGCTACAGTCACAAACATTTCTGATATTTGAAAACTAAAATATTCTGTGTTTTTACAGTATATCTCACAAGCATTAACATGAAACAACAGAAAAATAATATTGTTTTTATGTTTTTGGGTTTTTTTTACAGTGTATAATAGATTTTGTTTTAGGGGTATCAGAGGGAAGGGGGATGAATACACTGTTCATTCCATTTTCAGTTATGTATTATGAGGTTTTCCACATAAAACCCAATCAAAAAGCAGAAGCTTGTGGCTGTAAAACGCCCCTCTGTGTTAATCTTTCTGCAGGCTGATGTGGTTAACCCCAAACTACCTGAAGAAACCAGACAAACCAGTGTTCCTCCACACTTCTTCACTTTTATTTGTGGTTGTTTTGGCGCTTCCATCGCTTTGCATCCAGTTTAGCGAACCTGTTATGATTCATCCAGAAGAGTCACTAAACCTCTAAGACATCAAGGCGCAGGGTTTTTTCCAGGCCTTTGAATATTTTGCATGCTGTGCGCTGCTTTGCATATTGCATGCTACATTTCAGCCAAATCAGTACAAATACAGATGAAGATTTCATTACGAGTGTCTCAGGAACAGCAGCCAATTGATCTCTCTTATTCCTCTGTTACAAAAACAAAGTAAAATGTTTTTCAATTTTAATCTATTGTGTGCAAGTTTTTCAAAATTTTACAGTTGTTAGGTGATTTAAAAGCTGGTGTTTTGCACCAGTAACCTGTGGGAACAAATCACTTTAGAAAACGCTTACAAGGGCAGTAGCCCAGGGCTCCAAATTTTTGGGGGAGGCTCACAGATTTCAATGAATTTTTTTTAATTGAATGCATGTTTTTTCAGACATATTTCAATAAAACTATGTGTATTATGTTCTTACCTGTGAATTTTATAATGAGGTGTTGTGTCTTTGTCTGACAATAATGGATGATGGTTAGCTAGCGTGCTAATTCCTACATATTTACACTGCCGTGAAGTATGGTTATGTTGATTAATGTGCAGAGCATATTAAAAACATGTAACTCATTTAGACAGAACGCTTCATATAAGAGTCTCGGACCATTTCAGGTGAATTGTAATAACATTTAGGGGATTTTCCAACATAGAAAAAGCTCAACTATTTGAAAGTGATTGTAAGTTTTGGAGGGAATAACAATAAAAAATACAACTATCCAAAAAGTTGGAGTTTTTTTTAACATTTGTGGCTCTAAACACATTATATTTAGCTGGACTGTGGAAGATGCAGTTAACGCATGAAAGTCATAAAAATGTTACAAAGTCAAAAAAAGTTAAGAATTCATATGAGAATAAAGTCATAATATTAAGAGAAAGACTTTATCCTTGTAGTACTGCAAAAATAAAATAAACTTATCATCATGCAAGTTTATTCTCATAATATTATTACTTTTTTATTATTATTTTTAATTTCCTTAATGTGGCCCTAATATCCCATCATATAATATTGATATTGCCCAAAACTAAAATAAGTTTGGCACTTCTGCTTTAGTGGATGAGGCACCAAATGGTTTCCAGCCCAGGGCCCCAAATTCTTCTACCTCCAGCCCTGCAGGTCAACATAATAATCCATTTGCCTACAAAAGTTGAGTCTCAAACTTCAAAGTCATGCATCCAAATGCAGATTTCCTCCTCAACTGATAAAAAACCCCAGCTGCTAAGAAGAAAGAGGGAAGTCAAAGAAATGAGTGAAAGCAGAGGGTTGAAATCATCGAGCAGCAGCCGCCGGTCCAGGCCGCCTGATAACCTTATCATGGCCTCTCCACGCTGTAACGGCTGCAGCAGCAGCGAGATGGGGAGGAGCGGGCAGATAGCGAGTAAACGCCGCGGGACGGGACGTCTGTGAACAAAGGATGGCCCAGACAAAGAGGGAAGACATGAAAGATCGAGCAAATCTTCAGCGCTGAGCAAACAGATTGCCACTGACAATCAGCTGGGTTTTCTGTCAGTGCTTTACTGGAGTTGGGCAATAACTACCTACATTGACTCAGTAGTTGTGCTGATTGATGGCTCAGTATAAGTGTCAAACCCAAGGCCCAGGGGCCAAATCTGGCCCGCCGCAGCTTTTTATGTGGCCCTCTATGTTAACAAGTCCCTCCAGTTTTTCACAAATCTGCAAAAATTCACATAAAATCAACAAATCCCCACAATTTTTATAATCTTACTGCAAATTTTGTCTCAAAATTGATCAAAAACATTATGTTTAATTGCCTATTTGATGTAAAAGGTACTGTCCGGCATATAAAATAGTCACTTTTAGGGTAAATATTATAAAAATTCCTTACAAATAATTCTAAATTATCATTATAAAATCTGTGATTTTGATTGCAAAAAAAACACAAAAACAAACATGAAACCCTGGATGGACTGATAAGCATAAAAAGATGTTCAATATTATTTAATTCTAAGAAACAATTGTTGAATCCTGAAACAAACAGCTGGTCACTTTAATGGGTTTTATCAATATATTCTGGGACAACCAACCCTTTAATTCAGATTTTTAATGTGGGGCAAAATAAAAATGAGTTTGACCGCACTCCTTTAGTTTGAAATTAGTTCCAATTGATTAAGTCAGAGCTCAGTCCAAACTTTCTGCAGGCCAGAACCTCCATGTTGAAAGTTCTCAGGGGCCAAAATTAAAAACACAAAAATAATATTATTGTGAATTAATTTTCTTTACCTGCCCAACAATAAATCAAATTAATGTTAAATTCTTCTTTAATGACTAATCGTTAAAAAAGACTTATATTAAGTAAGTTTAGGAAAAAATAAATGCATCAATGTTTGATGTCTGTAGAAGAAGAAAAACTTGAACTAAAATAAATAAGGTGACGGATGAATATCCAGCAGCATCTTAGATTACTCTGTAAACACTCAGATGAGTGAAGTGTCTCTGTTTCTTCCTCATGGGATGATAATCTGTTGACAGTTCCAGGGCGGGACGGAGGAAAAATCTTGTTTATTCAGATCCTTTTTAAAACACAGGATTTCTCAGATTACTTGATCGCACTTTTACCAGCAATTACAAATCCAAAATATCTGCAGGAAGAATTTTTAAAGGACAGGTTGGTAAACTGTAAACTTAAAAAAATGAAAAAAAAAAAAAAAAAAAAAAAGTCACACACAGACAGGTCTTGTCTCGCGATAGTGTTGAGAATGCTGCCCTCGTGTGGCCAGAAACGACACAGCATCAACATCAATCATTCTTACAGATTTAAAAACTTGATTTTTCCACAATTTTGTCTTCCAGTACAAGAATTTAACTTTAAGCAAGTGAAACTGCAACAAAATACTAAAAATTTCAAGAGTCCACAAATAAAACCAGAGAAATTATTAATTAAATCTTTTGTAAAATGATTTAAAAACCTTAAAGTGGCTGTGCTGCATAAGAGTTTTCCTTTTACGTTTTTATTGTTATTATTTTCTGTTATTTTACAAAACCAGAAATCAGTTGTTTGTCACTGATATTAACTAAATCATTTTTGATTTATTTATTGTTTACTAACTACAGTCTGAATATTTGTAAAATACTAACCTGTCCATCATATTTTAAAATTAAATTGTACATGTTTAATCAGCAATGCAGGAAGCTTTTTAAATCAAATTATGAAAGTTTAATGTAAAACACACAAAAATATATTATTGTTTCTTAAATTAGAATATCAATAACTAAAATACTGTTAGGAATTAAAAGATGTTTTAAAAATCCTGTAGCAACATACTCATCTTCAACAGCGAGCTATTTTCATTTATTTATGTGTTTATTTTATTTTTATTTTATTTTCATTCCGGTTAGTAAGTCATAGAATTTGGCTCTGGAAAAAAGCGGAACCTTTCACATCGCGAACTTGTTTCCGCCCGAGCTTATTTTGCACGTTCACCGTCCGCGCACTGCGTTTCTCATTCGTTTCCGCTCGCTTTTAACGGCAGCAATGGCGGCGGTCGGTGCTGCGGATCAGGGGGACGTGACGCTCAACTTCACCCTGAAGGAGCTGCAGTTGTCCGGCCGGAGCGGAGACGCCGCGCCGGGCGGCTCGTCCGCCGTGGAGCTGCGGAGCAAGAAGCTGGTGTGCGTGGAATATCCCGCGATGGTGACCAGCGTGGAGAGGATGCTGGAGACGCTGGGAGGAGAACACACGGTGGCGAAAGTAAGCGGAACCAACAGCTGCTGGTTCGAGGATTTTTACTACTCTGTTCTATGAGTATTTTTTTTATTTCTGCTCTTGAGCAAAATTTCTGTATTTTTTTACCCACTGATTGAAGAACAAACATGTTTTGGACTAAATTCACCAGATAAAAACCTGCTGTTTTCAGAAACTCATTTGGAGAAATTTCTCCTGCCTTTTGTTGTTTATTTTTATTACTTTTATGAATTGTTGTCATTTTCGTCTTTGAGATAAATAAATCCACCTGATGACGTAATTTTTAAATAGTAAATGATTGATTATCAGGTATTCAGTTTATATTCTTTTTTACTCTTTGGTATCTTCTGAAGTCGTGCTGTTCTTACTTGGTTTCTCTACCATCTCTGAAAATATTAAAGGTAAAGCAAGTAACTTTTATAACATATATATTTTTACATATCAAAAATAGATTTTTTATATGTAAATTTTGTTGAAATTGTCACAGTGCAGGATAAAATAATCCATGAAAAACATTGAACTCCTCCATCCTCTCCCAGCGGCGAATAAAATCAACCAATCAGAGCCTGGGGGCGGGACTTAGCGCTGTCAATCACTCTCAATGTGGCATTGCTCATTGCACTCTTGTTAGGGAGTAGTTAGTTAATCCTTGTTAGCATGGCCACCAATCACTGTTGTGTACATGAGGATGATTGACAGCGCTAATACACTCCTTTATGTCTTTGTGTTTTTTCTTTTAACATTTTATCAATCAGTACTAGAATTATCTGCTTACGTCTTTAAAGTTCATATTGTTATTGTGTTTCCCAATATGATTATTGATTATTAACCTCGTATTCCTGGTTTTCCTACAGACGTTCAGTGACCCCAGCAGGCGACTGGAGATGCGTTTCCGACCCCGTGACCCCTTCTGCCACGCTATGTGTGGAAACCGGCTCCCGTCGAGCAACCTCCTCCTCAGGGTGCGACGGCGGGTCCGAAAAAAAGACCCCAAAGACGCTCAGATCCAGATGGACATCCTGGGAATCATCGGAACGACGTACAAGTTCCAGGGTAAAACCTGCTGCACTGCGTCTCATTTGTTAAATTTACAGAAACTGAAAACGTGTTTTTGCTCTGCAGGGATGGCCGACTTCCAGTGCCTTGCTGTGGATTCCCAGAACGGGAAAAGCGTGTCTCTCTACGACAAAATCATCCTCCGTAAAGCGGAGAATCAAGCCTTCTTCGCGCAGGACGTTCCTTACTTCCTGCCCCCGGCCATTTTCTCACGCCTCGACAGTCCGGTGGATTACTTCTACCGACCCGACGCCGTTCAGAAGCTGACGTCGTCGCTGTAGGTCGACCTGAAGTCAGGGAGAATACGCAAGAGGATTAGTGCCACTGAAAATTATTGACATTTTGTCTTTAGTCTCATAATTTTGACTTTAACCTCAGAATTAAAATTCTATTTTTCCTCAGAATTCTGACTTGTCTGAGATTATCAGTCGGTGGCTCTGATCCTCTTCCGTTGGGGAACGAGGGAGTTTGATATGTTCTGTAAATGTTTTCCTGTTTTGCGTTCGCAGCCCTCTGCCCATCAGTAAGAACTTCATCGGTTTGAACCGCGCCCGGCGGCCTCACAACGCCATCTTCATCAGCTTCACGGACCCGGCCGTTCCCACCGAGTGCCTGGAGGCGGCGCGGGTCAACTGGGGTCGGCTGTGCCTGAAGGAGCATGACCAGCAGAGCGAGGAGAAGGTCAAGAAGGTATTTGTTCAGCTGAAAACACGGCCGGCCCGACCGGAAAGTTGGAGCGTCCGACTCTGTTATGCAATGTTGAACGGTTTGTTTTTATCTAATCTCTGGAAAACATTTTGCTGCTCAGATGTTTGAGAGTCGACCCATCTGGTCCCGCAACGCCCTCAAGGCCAACCTGGACCTCCACCCGGAGAAGCTCAAGCTGTTGCTGCCCGTCTACGCCTACTACATGGTGAGCAGCACGTTCTGCAGGCAACCTGGAGACCGCAGCAATGTGTTGCAGCAATGTGTTGCAGCAAAGTGTTGCACAACTGGAAGCCAAAAAACTGCTGAGCTTCCAGTTGTTCTATCTTATTTTCTTTTTTCTTCCTGTTTTTTATTTTCTTGTCCAGGTTCTTGTTTCATTCTTCATGTTTTTTTCTTTTTCCACTTTGTGTTCTTTTATTTCTTCCTTCCGTTTTCCTGTTTTTATGTCTTTGCCAACTTCTTCCTCTTTTCTCTCCTCTTTATTTTGTCGTCTATTTTGTCTTTCATCCTTTTTATCTTTCGTCTTTCTTTCCTCCTCCCTTTTCTTTCTTTTGTCTTTTTGAATTTCATAAAATAAAAAAAGCATAATTTTAAGGTAAATTAATTTCTGTACTTAAATGTAGAAATTAAAACTTCTAACATTAATTCTCAGAAAGTTGTTACTACAAATAAAAATCAATTGAAAAATTAAATTTTAATACAGAAATGTGACATTTTGTCAATCTCCAGCAGACTCAGAGACACGCTCAGGGTAAAACACAACGTCTTTGCTAACCGGGGAGAATCAAATAAATTAAATGGAAGGTTTAGTGGAAGGAAAAAACATGGCACATAAGGATTGTTTCAGCTGTTGTTTTCGAGCCTCCAGGTGTTTTTTCTCCAGGTGACCGGACCCTGGAGGAGCCTGTGGGTTCGGCTCGGTTACGACCCCAGAAAGACCACCGAGTCCAAGAAATACCAGATGCTGGACTTCAGGATCCGGGTCAGCTCCAAATACGGTGAGGAGACCCAAATAACGGCATCGAAACACCAGCCACCATGTTCCTGATGAACTTACAACGTCATTAATAATCTGGTGCTGCTCAGGATTTATCGTTCTTTTCCTAATCTGGAAGAAAATTTGGGCTACAAGTAACGATTAATCGATCATTCTGATGATTGATCAGATTTAAAAATGACACACTCTACATATTTTTTAATTTAACAGTTAATAGTTTTTCATACAATATTATAAATATGTTAAAAGATGCAAATAAATAATTCAATTCCTTTTTAAATTAAGAAAAACATTTTGTCTAAAAATCTGAAGCAGGTGAACTTTTGGCTAAAGTATATATGTAGATATATATATATATATATATATATATATATATATATATATATATATATATATATATATATATATATATATATATATATATATATATAAAATTCCCTTCTCACCACCGCGGGTGGTTCTTATTCTCTGAGCTCGGGTCCTCTACCAGAGGCCTGGGAGCTTGAGGGTCCTGCAGTATCTTGGCTGTGCCAAGGACTGCACATTTCTGGACTGAGATGTCTGATGTTGTTCCTGGGATCTGTTGTAGCCACTGCTCCAGTTTGGGGGTTACTGCCCCGAGGGCCCCGATGACCACAGGCACCACTGTGGTCTTCACCTTCCAGGCCCTCTCCAGTTCCTCCCTGAGGCCCTGGTATTTCTCCAGTTTCTCGTGCTCCTTTTTCCTGATGTTGCAATCACTTGGTATTGCTACATCTACCACAACGGCTTTCCTCTGTGTTTATCCACTACGACAATGTCTGGTTGGTTTGCCATTACCATTTTGTCTGTCTGGATCTGGAAGTCCCACAGGATCTTAGCTCTGGCGTTCTCCACCACCTTTGGGGGTGTTTCCCACTTTGATCTCGGGGTTTCCAGTCCATATTCTGCACAGATGTTTCTGTACACAATGCCTGCCACTTGGTTATGTCGCTCCATGTACGCTTTCCCTGCCAGTATCTTGCACCCTGCTGTGATGTGCTGGACTGTCTCAGGGGCCTCCTTGCACAACCTACACCTTGGGTCTTGTCTGGTGTGGTAGATCTGGGCCTCTATTGCTCTGGTGTTTAGGGCCTGTTCCTGGGCTGCCAGGATGAGGGCCTCTGTGCCCTCATCCTGGCCGCCCATATAAGAAACAATATATATATATATATATATATATATATATATATATATATATATATATATATATATATATATATATATATATATATATATGTTTGAAATACACAGTATTTTGGCTCAAGTTTGCTCTGAATATGTTTTTATTTTCAGTAAATAACCTTTTTTGACTTTGAATACTCATGTTAGCGATTAATCGATTACTAAATTACTTGATTGTAATGGTAATTAATCTAATTAATCACTTCAGTCCTGTACGCAACCAATTGTTTCCATGAATTGTAATAGTTTTCTCTAAATCTCAGGGTCAAATCTAAACATACATCCTGTGTAACATTGGCTGGACATTTGGTCTCTTCTAGAGTTTAGTTGAGATTGTTGGTTTTCTGACATATTTCTGATTTTTAACAGGTTTTCTGTTCAAGTGCTTAGAGAACGACAACATGGATTCATAGGTTTATTTAGCCATCGTATAGCCAGTTTTGTGCTGGTATTAGTGTGTTTCCTTCAGTTTGTTGCCGTTGCCGGCTGTTTGTGGTGTGTTATATTTTCATCATGCTTTTCTTGGTCTGTGAAGGCTGCACTCCACCCAACATCCCGGTGAAAGCCAAGAGGAGCACGCTGAGCTACAGCCTGCCGACCACGCTCAACAAAACAGGTTTCAATTCATGCAAATTCGTTTTGATTGTAGAGCTGAAAATATCCTTCACTATTAAGGGCTGCATTGAAATATTTGGCGTGAATATTCTCTCAGATTAATTATCTTTTGATTACATTTTTTCTGCAGCCCTATTTTATTGTAAGAAACAGAATTGTCTTCACAATAATATAATCTCGAGACTAAAGATGAATCATTTCCTAAGTTCCTCCGGCTGCCAGCCTGATGGATATTCCCGCCCCAGAAGGTCCCGGTACCAGCCGCGACCCGCCTCCCGTCTCCTACCAGCTGAAGGTCGGTGAACAAAAACACCAAGAACATGAACAATTTAAAGCGTTTTGTTGTGAAACGCCCCCCTCTGGTTGTGCAGGAGTCTGCTTACGTGTTCAGAGACGGCTTGCTGCCTCCACACAGGCAGATGTTCTACCAGCTGTGTGATTTGGACGTGGACAGGTACCGGCGCCGGGCATCTTTAAAGCTCTGTCCCGCCGCGGCCAGCGTTTGCTAACGGCTCTGCTTCCTCAGCATCAAAGAGGCGATAAGCCAGAACGACGGCGAGGAGCGGGAGTGTGACGAGCGCGACGGCTGGTGTGTCGTCGGCACCACGGACAAACTGAGAGACATTATCTCCACGATGATAAAGAAGGTGGTCAGGGAGAAGAAACCAGGTATGAGAAACAACTTCAACATATTTCCTCTTTTCATAATTGACTAATCAAGCAATACTGAGAAATCCCACCTCCAGTTCATCTTGATCTAATCTTAATCTATGCAATGATTTGTATGTGTCTGGATATTTTTATACTTCTACATCAAATGTGCTTGATGTAGAAGCTGTTTTTGGGCGTCTGGAAAATTAGTCGTTTTAAAAACCTTTCAAATGTTGAGTAAATCCCACGAGCGCTGCGCCGTTACCTAGAACATTTGGTCAGCAGGTTTTACTGCTGTGCGCTCTGCACAACAGCTGCCAGAAACCAGAAGCAGCTCGCAGCACTTTTCCTGGTTGTGGAGGAGGCTCCACGTCTGCTTTTCAAAGTCGTAAGCTTGTACAATTTTGCCTCCGTTTGCAGCCATTTCAATGTGAGAATGTGGGTAAACGTTGAGTTGGGGGCCGTGACCGGCAGCAGCTTGTTTGGATTTGAAGTGAAAAGACGCCTTAAAACAGGCAGAACTGAGCAGACAGAAATCTTAATATCTAAGAAGGATTTTCTGTAAAAATAAATGTAGTGAACATGTTTTTTTCTCACCAGTAGATCCTAACCCTAACCTGTTTGGTCACCTTTAAACATAATATTTATTTTTTTATTCTTCAGTTCATTTTCTCTCCTTTCCTTTCAGAAAATCATGACAGGCTCCCAAAAAGACGACGGAAAGGACTTTTAAAATACAAGATGAAAGACCCAAAAGGAGAGGATGAGGAAGAGGACGATGAAGAAGCAGAGGCAAAGGAGGGTGACAACAAAGAAGATGAAGAGGAAAACGAGGATGAGGAGTTTCAGCCTTCAGAAGGAAGTGAAAATGAGATGGAGACAGAAATCCTGGATTATATGTGACGAAATAATCTGGAGTCATTTATGTAAAAAGTTTGGGTTTTTTGTTAAATGTAAATAAAGAAATCCGTTTCTTCTAGAGCTTTGAGGTGCTGAGTCTCTACTCGTAAGATCTTCCACTCATTGGATATCAGGTTGCTGCTCGGTGATCCAACAGGGAAATCTAGGAATCTCCCTTTCCAGATTCTCCTCCAACCTGGAAAACTTCCAAAGGAGCCATCCTGATTGTGTGATTACAGACAATCAATCAAATAATAATTAATTGTCGATTAATGGTTCACTAGATTAAAATGTGTTCCAATCGATTGACTATTAACGTCCGTTTGACCTTATTTAGTGCTGTAATTTGGCCTCCAACCAGCAGAGGGCGCCGCTGCTCATCCGTTAGCAGAGCCGTTGATACAGAAACAAAGATAACAACCAAAAACTACTGATGTTCTGCAGGCGAAACGCAGGAAAATGACTACATAATGGTTGACACGACGACAGATCTTAACTGTATTTTGTTGCTAAACCATTCAGGGATTTAAAATCCAACAGAAGTTTTTTAAAGTGTATTTCAGCTGCAGGGACTTTAAAACTGCGTGATGTTCTCCATGTTTTCAGTTTAAGGGAGAACAGCAGCAGCAGGTTCTGGATCAACAAGGCTTTAATTAAAGTAATTTTATTAAATTACTTTGTTTTTCTGAATCAGTTTTTAACAGGATATAATATAATCTCATACAGAAACAAACAGTATTTTTTTTATATATATCTTAATTGTTTAATCCTGGACTGTAGAATACTGATTTTGCAACAGTTTTTATGTCTCTGAAGGTTTATGTTTGAATTATTATTTTTTTATCCTTGAATATATTTGTCTTCATGAGATCATTTAAAGGTGCAGCACGCCTAAAACGCAGCCTTTCACATGTCTGGCTTTAGTTTATTTCTTTGCTTCAGTAAATTTCCATGAGTTGGTCACTTGGCACAAGCATTTCAGCTCGCTTTGAGAAACTGATATGAGACTGGATCGTTCCTTGATGTGGAAGTAGAGAAAATCAGCAAATTTATGGTCATGTCAACGTAAATTTTCAATCAAGTTGAAGAACTGACATTAAACTTTACACAATGAGTGTTTTTTCTTGTTGTGAAGGGTAATATGTATCTGAAGAAAACTCAGAAACATGCACACATGAGCTGGTTAATGATTATGAGTCATGTCTGCACATGTGTCAGATGCTATTTAAAAGGAGAGCCTGACAATCATCCTGGGTTTTATTCCTGATGGCGGTTCTCGGGGTTTTGGTTGCTCTTTCCGTTCTGCTGGAGATCATCTCTGCCACCTCTGTAAGTCCTCAACAAGCAAAACTCACACCAACAGAATCAGAATTATCTAGAGATAACCAGATTCCTATCTTGCTTCTGATATTTTCTGTTTTTCTATAAAAAAATGACTTATTTAAGCCTAAGTGTCTGTTTGTAACCCTTGCAGCTCGGGGTTGTGTCCACCGAGGGAGGGCTGGTGAAGGGTCAGAACCTTCTCCTGGGCTACCGTCGCTACATGGATGTTTTTAAAGGCATTCCCTTCGCTGACATCCCTGGAAGGTTTGAGAAGCCAAAGCGTCACCCGGGCTGGAGCGGTGTGTGACCCCAGCATGCTGTCCATACCAGCCAGGACCGATGCTCAAAACAGCCTGTTTATTCCAGAATGCAACTCAAATGTATTTATTTTGGCTTAAGTTAAATATGTAGTTTGATTTTTTTAAATTATTCAGTCTGACACTTGTGTTGACAAAAATAGATTTACAATTATATTTAATTTTTTATATTTTTACCTCCTAAGCATTAAACTAAACATGCAATGTTTTATTTAATTAATTTTTTTTGATGTTTTTAATTTAATTGAAAACATTCTCAGCAATGGAAACAGGGTTTGGGTCACTTTATGTTTTTAAAATGGCTGCTGATAGATGTGATACTTGCTACTGCGAGCTTAAAGGTTGAGATGATCACGGAAATTAATTTATATTATAAATTTATATTGGAGAATCCTTCTAAAAACACTTTTAACTACTTATTTTAATAGTTTATACACCGAAAACAGCGTAATATATATTAATATGGACAGTTCTATGGCTAGTACCGCAGCGGCACAAGCTAACATTAACGCTCTTCCCATATTTTGTCTTCCTCAAATCGCCCTCGGGGATTCAGCCAATCAGCGCCAAGAAAAAATTAATGGCGCTACAGGATTGGCTGCTTTGTGAACGGCAGCCAATAGCGCTTCACATAGCATTTTAGCTAGGTATAGCTTGTCAAGCTGCATTTTCGTTCTTTTCTTTTTTTGTTCAACAAAAATATCACTATTAACAAGCTTAATATTACTATTAAGCTCGTTTCATTTTAACACAATGAAACGAGCTTTCATTGTGTTAAAATGAAAGCTCATATTAACACAATGAGCTTTCATTTTGTTGCTGAAAATGAAAAAGTAAGAGTAGCACTACTTCAACATGTGTTTATTAGCTAGCCGTTCAAAAAGTTGCTCATTTGAGAATAAAAAAGGTTAAAAAGGCAACTCTACTGAGCATCAGAACATCTGATTGAATGTTTTCATCACACAAATATGTGAAATTAGGTCCAAATTCTCATATTTTAAAGACTAAAATTAAGAAAAAATATATAAAATAATAAAGAGTAGGAAGATTATAAAATATTACTAAAGTAAAAGTAAACTGTACAGTGTCGTTAAACTACTCCTAAAAGTTTTTTGGGTTTTGTCCAAAAGGTTACTCAAGTACATATAAGTGAGACATTGTAACGAGTTACTATCCACATTTAGGTGCATGAATGCATTGAGTTGCTGCCATTTGATTGAATTATTTTCTAATAGTTAATTAATCAATTAAAAATGCCACCTTGTGTTGTTATGTGCCTAATCAGATACACTTAAGGCCACCCAGTACAGGGACAAATGCCTTCAACTGGACCCTTACATGACCGCTGTCTCTGGCAACGAGGACTGTCTTTACCTGAACATCTGGGTTCCTCATCTTGGCTCAGGTAAATATCTACATTTACCGACAGAGGCGATCAAATTTAGACCAAACTAAGTCCGTTTTTTTTCCAGTGGCCTCCAATATGCCGGTCATGGTCTGGATCCACGGTGGAGCATTCATGTTTGGTGAGTCATTTGGAATGAACTTCCTGGGAAACTATCTCTACAGCGGACAGGAAATGGCAGAGAGAGGAAATGTTATCGTTGTGACATTGGGATACCGTGTGGGAACCCTTGGCTTCCTGAGTGCTGGAGACTCTACTCTTCCTGGTAGGAACCCTTTAAAAAGATCCAGTTGGTACCGTCAATGCTTCGTGCAGTCTTCACCTTGTTGGATCTCGTTTAGGAAATTATGGGCTGTGGGACCAGCAGGCCGCCATTGCATGGGTGCACAGAAACATCCAGTCGTTTGGAGGAGACCCCAGCAACATCACCATCTTTGGAGAGTCCGCCGGAGGAGCCGGTGTTAGCTTCCAGGTCAGAGGTTTAACTCGGACCATTCAGCAGATTTTTAAGAACATAAACATCTGTAAACAGATATTGAATGGATAAAAGCTATTTGTGGGCACATTACCATTGTCAATATGCTAATGTGCTAATAGCAGAGCTAATTTTTTGATAATTGCTTGTTTAGTGGACTTAGTGTGATGTCCATGACTATTATAAGCCTTTCTGAATTACTTTGGAAGGATGTTAATAAATGTGTTTCCTGTTTCTCTGACAGACACTCACCCCTCACAACAAGGGGCTGATCAGGCGAGCCATCTCCCAAAGCGGCGTCGCCCTTTGCCCTTGGTCTATCAACAGAAACCCTCGCAAGTATGCTGAAGAGGTACATGGCTCCTATTACCCAGGTTTCAGGAATCATTAAAGTGCATGCTGTAAAACACCAGCAATGTGACATTTTTAGAGCTTTTTCTCCAGGTTGCTCTGAAAGTCAACTGCCCCATTGACAGCAGAATGGCCGCCTGTCTGAAGATGACTGATCCACTGGTTCTCACTAAAGCGGGAAGCGTCTCTTTGACCAGCTCTGCTGACGGTGAGCTCCACACTCCTTCTAATCTGCTAATGCACTTTAGCATTTTAGCTAACTTTGAAAACACTTAGCCTCACCTAAATTAATTTTCTAAATAAATTCGAAAGTGCTAATTTACTTGGCTGATTTGTAAACTTTCATTTGAATAAAGTTTTGTTTATAGTTAGCTGCTTATCGTCAGAACGCTCAACAACTCTAAAACTAGAACCACGAGAAAATGGTTTGTTCAAAAGAATCATTTTCTGAGCACAAATAAATCTATATTGCAACACAATTGAGGTTGGTGTCAAAATGGTTACATTTAGCATTAGCATTAGCAATGCTAAATATCCACTAATATCATGTCAGTGTGGAGCTCTAGCGTTAGCTAAGCTAATGTTTATGAGCAGTGCTCTAGGTTAGTCAGTTTAGTCAGTAGTTACCGTTACTGAATGTTTCATTTTCTTAATATCAATGTGCATATTTAAAAAATTCAAGTAAGGAAAAGCCATTAAAATTAGCTCTATGCATTTATTTGACCCCATTGAGGGCAATGTAAAGTGTTATTTCACTGACTGATGCTAAAATGGTTAAATTTAGCCTGTTAGCATTAGCACTAGCTTTAGCAATGGCTAATGTCAGTGTAGCATTTTAACATTTTTCAACAAATATGGCCCATTTGTTGAAAAAATCTTTGTTAGTTGGCATGAATAACTTTGATTAATGATTTTTAGCATCTTTTTTGATATGAAAAACTTTCTTAGTGAAATATAAAAAGAAAACTTGAGGTGAAAATCAAAGCATATTTTATTTGAAGTAAATATTTTGTGTTTTACTGTTGAATTAGATTAATCTGAGTCAGTATCTCTGTCGGTCAGACCCTTTTATCTACAACCTGGCTCTTACTCCTGTGATTGATGGCGACTTCTTGCCCGATGACCCGTCCAATCTGTTCCACAACGCCGCCGACATCGACTACCTGGCCGGAGCCAACGACATGGACGGACACATCTTTACCAGTTTT